CTCAGATCCTCCCTCCCAGACACAGTTCTCACTCAAGGACACACACACACACACACACACACACACACACACAGCTGTCTCTGTTTTTACAGTGCTGCCCTGGCTGCCCCTTGGTGTCTTTCCTCATTATTTCCGCTTACCGTTCGTGTATTCAGTGACTGACTAAGGAGCATCTTGTGTTGGAGACTGCCGTCTGCTGAGGATGCAGAAGTGAACAAAACACACACACCGTCTGTGCCCTGGGGGGCTCACTATCTTGAGACGGGAAACAGATACAGATACGAAGAGACAGTTCCACCTTAAATATAAATTTCAAATAGGCTACGAATCTATTTCCACTGGTCTCCCGGCTGCCCCCAGCCCACAGGAATCTCTCAGACTCCTTACGGGTGGGAGTCGCTCAGATTCTGGAATTGCAAAACCCCAAAAAGTCAAGTCATTCAGGCTCCTGGTCCTCTGGTCCTTTGACTTCTGAGGACACTTCTAGTGAGTGACATTTGTTACTTTTGAGCATCTGCACGGATTGTAGCTTTTGAGGGCGGGGTCCTTCCTAATGAAAAGTTGCACAGTTGAAAACTAGTTTTGGTGTACAGAGTTGTGTTTAGTATGAAATTTCCTGGAAAACTCCAGAAGTTTTCATTTATGTCGCTACCTGTGAGTTTTGTTCTTTATGTTTGAAACTTGGTTTGCTGCAGTTAATAGTTGCTAAAATTAATGTTTAGAAAACTAGAATGCTAGGAATTTGTTTCTGAAAAGTTTACTGGGGAGGGAAGTCGTTTGATCTCAAACCTCATGTTAAGAGCCGATGACTATTCAGTAGAAAAGTGGCTGTGGTTAGTTTTAGGCCCCTGAGGGTGGGCAGAAGAAGGAGGAGCACCCACATGATTCCTCCACGTGGGAGTCTCCAGCCCCACCCTGGAGCTCAGGGTCACTTTGAGTCTTTGTCTGGAAAAATTGGGTACAAGGCATGGGTTTTTTAGGCTTTGGTCTTCACCAGCCAAGGGAGGAGATGAAGTGGAGTGTCAAAGCCCTGGGGTGACCTAGGAAGCCAGTGGGTCACAGGCCCCCCTTTCGTGAACTCCAGGCCCATCCTCCACAGGAACCACAGCACCCCCCCCTCTAGAGTTACCTAGACATCCTTAGCCAGCTCCTGCTACTGCTTCATCTTCAAGTTGCAGCCCAGTGAGGCCTTTTTGAAAGGTCCCTTGCTTCTCCAAAGGGCGGTTAAAGAACTATTGTTATTTTCTTAGACTGCCTGAGGAAAGAGAGGCTTACTGAGGAGCTAGGAGCTGGGCCGACCCTGACCTTGGCCAGCCTGAGCCAGGCCCAGAGAGGCCCGGAGGGGCTGATGCGCCTGGCTTCTTGCCCTCTGGTTCTTGAGGGCATGTTGTGTCTTTTCTCCTTTAAATTGGGCCCTGCGTAAGGAGGTGGTTGTTACACAAAACCCTGAGAGTGAGAGTTCCCACTGCCCTCCCCATCTAGGAGTTGGAGGCCTCTTCTGAATATGCTCATTGTAATGTTACTGCAGTGTGTCAGGCAAACTTAAGGAAAATGACTTCACTTTTTATTATGTTGCATTGTATTCCTTTCTGTAACAGCTTAGATAGGATTAAAAATCAAGATGATATGCATTTTACAGTCTTACTGGGTGTGTGGAGTCAGTTTTGCCTTATAATATAATACAAAATAGAGAAATGGTGGCAAACCTGCCTTGAGGTACACTCCATCAGCGGTCCTTATTCATACCTCTGAAGCGCATCCAAGATTTGGTGTGTGTGTCTGTTCCTGCTCACAGATTTTGCTTACCGAGCCCTCTGCCCTCCCCTTCCAGGCAGCATTACAGATGTCTTATCAGGCTTTCTCTAAATCATTAGGATTAGCACACAGCTCTGGCCAGCTGGATCATTCTAATTGGAAATTAGGTGCTTCTCACATTGAAATCCTTCTGAAAATACCTCCAAAGATCTCTTTCAGCTATGGGAATTCTACTAAATGCCTATAGTATTTTGCATGACCTGTATACTTTTTAAATATGTGAATTCTGTAGATTCAGTGATTATTTCTAGAAAAATGCATTATTTAAAAAGTCCTGTTGTTTGTTCTAGTAACAAGTCTTAAAAAGACAATTCTGCATTGATGACTATAAGAAGAGTCTACACCATCTTCCCTAAATGTTACCTCTCCTCCAGAAAACCGATAAAAATCACTAGCTTATCACAGTGGCGATAAGCTAGTTTGTTTTCGGTTGTATTTTGTTTTAGGCTTACGGACAGTGCTTCTCAAGCTTTCTGTGACGAGGGGCTCTCTTGGTTCCCTGGCCCCCTAGCTCCTAGCTCCTAAGAAGCCTCTCTTTATCCTCAGGTACTCTTAAGAAAATAACAATAGTTCCAGGCTGGGCCTGGAGTTCACGAAAGGGGGGCCTGTGACCCACTGGCTTCCTAGGTCACCCTGGGGCTTTGACACTCCACTTTATCTCCTCTATCTTTCATAGACTTTAGTAAGATGCAATCAAAATAATTACCATAAAATGAAATAAAAATACAAAGTTGTGGAAAATAGAAGCCCCATTAGAAAAAATTCCATGTACAGACATACAGTTACTGTGTACATTTGCTGTAGAAGTTTCTAAATAATAAAATGTCTCTCCATATCTCATCATGGACCAGTAACAGTTCACAGATAGGCACCATCTATAGCCACACTTCAAGAAACACTGTTTTAGAGTGTGTATGTATCTGTGTACTCATACATTTAAGTGTGTTGCCTTGATCACATTATAACATAACATAGATCTTAGAACTTTATATGAGAATTAAATGCACTTAGTAAGCTCTTTAGCAAAAGTGAATTTTTTCTATTAGTATTTAAATGCTTAAATTATAAGCAAATACCAATAGTATACTCGTGAATACAGTTATATGTTTCAAAACCCAGTTGTCCAGTAGCACCTCTGATGCATGAACTAGAAAATGTTTTGCAATGTGAGATGAAACCACCTCCACTCTGATTCACCTTCAAGTTTAAACAGATACTTTAGATAGGAAATGTTCTATGCAAAGTAAATACACAAATGAGACTTTTAGCACTAAACAGTAGGAAATATGTCTATCACATGGAGTATTAGAGAAACCAGCTGTTACTATCATAACCTTTCTTGCCCTGGAGAACAGTTAATTACTGGACTGGTCATTGGGATTGACAGCCATTTTTTAAATGTTAACAAAATGAGGGGAAATGTTTCATGCAAGTAACTCCACATTCTTTGTAAGCATTAACAAATCTCAAGCCAGTTCTGATGTTGATAGGTCACAGCTTGTTTATCTGTCTCTTCTGGAGACTGAGACAGGTGAGATGGTCTCAAGTGGCAGACTCCATGTCCACCTGTATACTGGCCTTGAGGGCAGCATGGCCTGCTTTCTGACAAAGTATGAGAAAGAAGTTCTGTGAAGTTTATATTCCATTTAGCCTTATTTCTTTAGGACGAGACTTGAAATTCAAAATGGCGATCAGGTGCAGGAGGGGATGTTTAGCCTCTTGAAGGCCAGGGTATTCACGTGGGGCTCCCCACTGGGCCTGGCCAAGTGCCTACAACAGTGTAGATGTGGAGAAGTTAATAGAGGATTGAATGAGGTGTGATCAGTCAGCTGAAGCAGTTCATTAAAAGGTAAGTGGCATTTAGAAGAGAAATTGGATAACTACAAAGCAGTTGCCTGTATATGAAGACATGAGAGTGAGTCACACTGAGGACAGGATTAGCAGGAGTCCCTGAGAATGCTGTAGCGGGAGACGGGGATGGTGAGGGACCAAGCATGGGCCCGGCTTCATTTGAACCATGATCCTCGCCTCAACACCAAAAGGCAGATTTCTTGTTAAATGGTTAGAAAGTGAGGTCTTTGAGCCAAAGGCTAATGGACTTGAGATTGTTCTGTTTAGACAGTAGACGTTCTGAAAGGAGGTGGTGATCTTGGAGAGTTGGAAGGACCACTCCCTAGAAGGTGACAACCAGATGACAAAACGTATTCACGAAGGCCAGAGCAAGAGAGGACAGTCTGGCCTGTGAGCAGCAGGCGAGGTGGGGCAGGAGTTCCTCGCTGCAGTTTTAAAATTCCACCCATTACCGGATTCTCAGGGTCTGAGATACGAGGTCATGGTTTCTTCAAAATACGCATGTATCTCTGGAATCACAGGAGGTATTTTGTTAGGAAATGTCTCAAGTACCCAAACAGCAATGCTTATAATCAGAACTAATTACTTTAAAATTAATCCAGTTGTCTTCAGGCATAACTATGCGTGGATGAAATTGAGCCAAAGAAAAACTTAGGCTGGGAAATACGCATTCCTCCACTTGATTCTACAATGGAAAGTGGTGGCGGCTCAGTCACTGTGGTCATTTAACACAGGCGCAGTGCTTTACCGCATGTCACCAACCAGGCAGAAAGGCTCTATGCTTAATGAGGAAGGAAAAGCATTTTGAAAGCATACACAGTTCTACCCAAATTATACATGTTCCCTTTCTTTAACTTGGTTCTTTTAATCCTTTAAGAAGTGCTCAAGCTGTAATCTGTGACACCTATATCTGTTTAGGTCATAGCATTGTAAGTGTTTTCTTGGGCTTTAAAAATAAATCTACTTGGGGGAGGGAAATTGAACCTGCACGATAATCTTAGGCATGCGAACACAAGCACATGAGCTGAGAAAGTCAAAATCATGGTTTCCATGGTAACTCTTAACTTGTCTGCGTCGTACACATTTCTCAAGAAATACACTCACCAGACTACCTAGTGATAAAAATTGCTCCACAGGCATACAAACGTGGATTTTCTAACTCTTATTGTAAAAGGTCTTCCTTCCTCCCACCCCTAATTAATCCACGTGTACTTGTAAATAACCCTGGGTAGGAAACTGAGGTCCAAGTCCTGCCCTCTAAATCAGTCTCTTTTTTTATGGTAGAAATCAGCTTTCATGTGATTAATGCCATTTCCTCCCTCTCCCCTCTGCAGATTTATGTTGGGTAAAGGAGGAAAACGGAAGTTTGATGAGCATGAAGATGGGCTGGAAGGCAAAATCGTGTCTCCCTGTGACGGTCCATCCAAGGTGTCTTACACCTTACAGCGTCAGACTATCTTCAACATTTCCCTTATGAAACTCTATAACCACAGGCCCCTGACAGAGCCCAGCTTGCAAAAGACCGTTTTAATTAACAACATGTTGAGGCGGATCCAGGAGGAACTCAAACAGGAAGGCAGCCTGAGGCCCATGTTCACCCCCTCCTCCCAGCCCACCACCGAGCCCAGTGACAGCTACCGAGAGGGCCCGCCGGCCTTCAGCCACCTGGCGCCCCCATCCTCCCACCCCTGCGACCTCGGAAGCACTACGCCCCTGGAGGCCTGCCTCACCCCAGCCTCGTTGCTCGAGGACGACGATGACACGTTTTGCACCTCCCAGGCCATGCAGCCCACGGCTCCCACCAAACTGTCACCTCCAACCCTCTCGCCAGAAAAGGACAGTTTCTCCTCCGCCTTGGACGAGATTGAGGAGCTCTGTCCCACATCTACCTCCACAGAGGCGGCCGCGGCTGCGACGGACAGCGTGAAAGGGACCTCCAGCGAGGCTGGTGCCCAGAAACCCGACGGTCCTCAAGAGAGCCGCGCAGATGACTCAAAACTGATGGACTCTCTGCCTGGGAATTTTGAAATAACGACGTCCACGGGTTTCCTCACAGACTTGACCCTAGATGACATCCTGTTTGCTGACATTGATACGTCCATGTATGATTTTGACCCCTGCACTTCCTCATCAGGGACAGCCTCAAAAATGGCCCCTGTGTCTGCCGACGACCTCCTCAAAACTCTGGCTCCTTACAGCAGTCAGCCTGTCGCCCCAAGTCAGCCTTTCAAAATGGACCTCACAGAGCTGGACCACATCATGGAGGTGCTTGTCGGGTCCTAAGACCCAGGGACCCAGCGACTGTGCCCACCCAGACCCCAGAGCGTTCCCATAACCCTGACAATTCTCCACACTGTGCATGCACCCTTGCTTGCCTTTTTCAGAGAAAAAGAAAATTTTACAACAGGATCACACTAGTTTTTGCTTTGAGCAGAGTTGGAGTGCCTTCATCCAAGTATGACCACTTGTAATACACTTTTTTGAGTGGTTCCTCAGAGACCTACTACCCTGGTTTAGGAAAGAATCCATTCGAAGACAATGTTGCAATGTTGAATGACAAAAATAAACAGTTCCAGTGAAGCACAAGGATTAAGTTGGGAAAGCTGTAAATTGCATGTGCATATTTGTCTATTTTTTCTATAAGTTTTATTGCAAGAGGTAAAGAAGAAAACTATATATATACACACACACACACACACATATATATATATATATATCTTATTTAGATAATCTCAGTACCTTTTCTGGCATTTTCGCCCTGTATAGGTTGACTTGGCAATTCGGCCTTTTTAGAGGCATTAACTACTCCTCGTAAGTGTTGCATTTACATGGCTGTTTAGAAAACTGCTGCCCAAATTTATTTTATATTTTTGTACAGATTCTGCAGTTTATGATATTGTTTTTCTAAAAACAAATGCTGTTTATACATATGAGATAGCTATTTTGATAGGATTTGCTCACATAGTTCCTGCAAACTTCAGATGTACAAGTTGCACTTGTACTTTTATAGAGTTGTAATGTTTTATATGTGTATGGTGCAAGAGAAAATTGGATCAAATCAATCTGCAGTTGATGTCCCCAAATGCAAACACAGGCACACACATGCACACACACATAAACGCACACACACAGCGCTTTAAGAAAGGGCCAGGTGATATCACACCCAAATTTCACAAACACTGACCCCCTGGCACCAACACCTGCCAGTACTGTGACTTCCAAAGCCAGAGCCACATGTGCTCAGCAAACTTGCATTAAGCAGTTGGCGGGAGATGGCTGTGGAGCTGGGGGTTTAAGTGATGGTTCTCTTTTGCTCCCTCTTTTGAGGGTAAAGCTACCATCTTTCTTAAGAGTGTATTTATGCCAAGTTTGTGCTTTTAATTGTTTTTATTTTGTTTTTTAATGAAAACCTAGATCTTTCCTTTTTGGCATAATTTTTATGATGACCTGAAATTTTACATCTGAACAAAATTTTATGAAAAGCAACCAACTTCTTCATGGAACTTGGCCCTGTTGCAATGCTTAGGGCCCTTAAAGAAGAAAGTCTCCCCAGAAGGCATCCATCATGTTGCTAAATTGTCTTCTGCAGCTTCCTTTCCCTAGAGTTTTCCTTCTGTTGCTAAGAGCTGAAAGTGGCATCTTCACGATCACCACAGTGAGCTTGGCTCACCTCGGCCGGCCCGGGATGCACTCTTACAACATGTGTGACTCTTGAACCTGGATTTCATCACATTACGTCACAGCTTCCCATCTGGTTGCTTTCCTAAATCAGCTACTTTACACTTGTCAAGGCTGTTTTACCCCAAAACTCAGACAGGACTTTCTATGCATGTTTTCCCTCCTGCCCCCAATCTCTACCCCACCCCCACCCCCTGCCCACCTTATCTCCCAGGACACACTTGAGAAGTAGCTTTTTATTCCTAGTGGTGTACATTTAATTTGAAAAAGTTTGCAATGTATCATGCTTGTTGCCGAAACTGTTTATGGCCTTCTTGTTTCAGTTTTTTCTTTTCTTCCAATGGTACTTTAGCTGTTGAGTGCAGGTTACAACCTATATTGTTATGCAGATGGCTTCTTTAGGAATAACTTTTATATTTATTTAAAAATGTTTAAATTATGGGATTTTGTTTTGTTGTTGTTGTCGTCGTCTTTGTTGTTGGTCATTTGTCACTATTCAGTCACCTATTCTGCTCACTTCTTGCCATGGATCAAATTGGGTCTTTCTGGCTAATTAAAAAAGACAACTTTATAAAATGGCACTTTAAGCAAGCCATAGATAGTTTTATTTTTGTAATGCACATGGCAAAGCAAAGATGTTTGTGATGAAGGAACTGCTCATCTAAGCAAAAGATTTGAGTGTGATATGATAAAGTCTTTCTACATTCTAATTTCTTCCCCCACTTGAATGTGTTTTAAAGGCTAGTTATCAACTCAGTAGAGCAGTGAGAAACTGATCAAATTGCACTTGTTCTCCTACAAGCAACCTCCACGCAGACACCTCGTACTACTACAGGTATGTCATTTCCTTTAATAGGACCAGGGACCATGCAACTGAGGTGAGGGTTGTAGTAGATGCTTCCAGTGTCAGTGTGCCTGTTAATTTTAAGAGCTTTCCTTTCTTGCAGAGTACAAGTCTGCCCAGATTCCATGCTTTCTATAACTGGAGGACCCGGCAAACCTGCCACATGCTGCACACATCTACCTACATATACATATACAATAGTATTGATGATTCTGAACAATAACAGGGTACAGCAGTTGATTTGCTATTGTTAAAAACTGATTTACAGTAACTTACAACAACTGTACTTTTGTTGGATTAGCAAATCATGTGTTTAAACAAATCCCATATGTTGGGCAACAGTTCAAATAAGCACGGAGAAGTGTTGCCCAAACTTGGTTCTCTGACTCTCATGTATTTGTAAGGCTGGGCTTCAAAATCAAAACAAAAACCCCAATAACAGCAGGCAAATGCTTTTTAACTCGGACACCCTTGCCATAAATCCTTGATACTCAAAGTGTAACAAGAAAGACATGGAAAATTAGCAGCCCATTTTCAGAAAGATCAAAATGATCTAGGGTTCTAATTGCCTTTGCATCCTATTCTTACAAAGTGATGTCCCAACAGGGAACAGTAGGAGCTGGAGTGGGATCTCCAAGTCCCAGTTTGAGTGTGGGATGTGCTTCCAGCAGTGCCTTCCCCTTTATGAAAGATACCACACGGCATCCAGGGCCAGGCAGGCAGCTCGAGGTGCCTTCACGAGAAAGCTGAGCTGGGGCTGGGAGAGGACAGTTATTGACAGTGATGTGCAATGAAGTGACAAGATGAGAGCAGAATTGCAAGAGCTTTGAATTTGAAGTGAGTTTTTTTTTTTTCCCATAAGTTATTTATTCCTTTTTTCTGTGTAAATATATTTATTTTACTGTGGAGCGCTAACATCTGGATCGTAACATGTGCAGAATGTATGGTAGGAATGTATTCTCTTGTAGGAATGTAAATCTGTATTAAAAGGGGGTCCAAGCCAGGCCCCCAGGTCTTCTCATTGTATGCACAGTCTGCATTCATTTTTACTCTTCTCTAATATGGGTCTATTTGAAATATGCAAAAGGTATGGATGAGGAATGTTTTAATACCTCCAAATTTTTAAGAAAAGCATCAAAGGGTTGATATTTTTTAAAGTTTTTTTAGTAGCACTTTCTCTGGATGACAGAAGGGGCAACCACATGGGCACCCTCGTTCATACCAAAGGGTGAGCAGTGGCCAGAGCCTCCTCTGCACCTCTCGAGTGTCTTTACCAATTGAGCTTTTTATCGCCATAGCCCCTTGGAGTGCCCCAACTGCCCTGAGGTCAATCAAGGAAAATTCCTTAATGAAATAAGCTCCAAAGAGCCAAAGTATCAACTTACAGATCGTTTTTAAAGCTTAAATTTATTAACCACCTTTGCGGTAAACAATGAATTATGAATACCGCAGGGCAGCCTTCTTAAATGACAGATGTAAAAAAAGTAATAAGAGACTCTACTTTGTGCAGCGATTGCTAGTCTACTCTATAGGAATTGTCTTAATTTGAAAACCTTGCTGTTACAAATTGGACCTTTATACGTTTTCTAAAAACAATGAAAAGAGCATATTTAACCTTTTCTGGCTGTAAATGGTTACCTTCCTGTAGCTGCCCCGCACCTGGAGGCATGGAGTTGTGTGCGTCCTGCTTATGTACAATTGTTTTCAGTGTTTCTAAGAATGAGTCTGAATGGTTCTTGAAAATTAGCCAGGATCAAATGCTATTGCAGACGAAGCCAATAAAAAGTTGGACTTCTTTTGGGGATAACAAGTTTGGAAGAGAAATGCAGGCCATATGTGCGCATGACCGAGATTTTGAAAAAAGATGTACATAGTGACATGTTTGGTGCATGGTTTTGAGGAGGGCTTTTGTCAAAAAGGAGGTATAACCTTTCCCCCACAGACCTGAGAGCTGTGCCTTTTCTATGCAATATTACAGACATTACATCGGAACCCAGATGGCTGTATTCACACGTAGGTTTGGGCTGTAATCTAAACAATTGGACAGATTAAATGTACATGGAAATGAGCAGTCTTACTTTTGTAGTTTTATATTATACAATAAACAGTTAAAAGATGAGAGAGGCATGCTTGCAGTTTTCTTTTGATGGGAACTCAACCAGCTTATTTGTGACAATGTGCTCACATTAAGCAAAGTCCAGCAAGAAAGAGCAGCAGGGGGGCCCTGAAGGAGTGGGTGCTGCTGGTCTTCCTGAACCCTCCTGGTCTCAGGAACCACCCTTCTCTCCTGGTTTTCCTCTTGCTTCTTGGACCCTTCTGGACCTCTTTCTCACATCTGTGCCCCAGCTCTCTTTAAAACATTGTTTTTTCCAGGGTTTGGCCCATGCCTAACTCTTCACTGAGCCTCCACTCCTGCTGCCGCTGGCTTTCCCAAGGCGATCTGATCCACTCAGGATTCTCAAAACTGGTCTCCAGCCCCTGCCTCTCTCCTGAGCTCCAGACTTCAGTATCTACCGAGATTTGCTCCCTCATGCTCGGGGCACCTAAAGGGCTCTCATTTCCCCGGGGGTTGATTCTTCTGTGGGCTCGTTGTCTTCAGCACTCCGCTCCACACAGTTGCCCACCCTTGCGGCCTGTTCGCAGTCCCAGCCATGTCATTCCGTCTGCTACCTCTCCATCCTCACCACAGCATCCCCGTCTCGGACCCTTCCTCCCTCCTTGCCTCTGACCACCGCACCTGCTTCCTGACCAGTCTTCCTGCCGTGATCATCTCTCTACCATCCCTGATGCTGGAGTTGACGTTCTAAAATGCCAGTGGGTCACGTGATTGTTGCATGTCCTCCAGGTGTACCCCCCGATTATACCATCTGAACCCTGTCGCTGCTGTCTTCCAATGGGGAGTGCAGGAGACCCTGTGCAACCTCCTTGGCTGCTGGGCTGTCTTGGATGGAGTCATGGGATCTGGCCTCACCTGGCCGGGGCAGGCTTTTATTTTGGTGTGGTTGGGCCACCACATCACTGGCGAGGGAAAAGGGCTGGATGTGTGAGGCCTGGGAAGTGGAGGTTCAGCTCAATCAGCGGTGGAATGTGGAGTGGGGCGTGAAGTGCTGGGGAGGTGTTAGGGGCTGAATTGTTTCCCCCAAGAAG